CCCCCCCCCCCCCCCCCGCACTGCCCCCCAGAAAAAAAAAGGACACCTAGTTTCTAAAAGTACCCTTGGAACACTGGCTGCTCTGTCTTGGAGGTCCAGCAGTGGTTTTGTGTCCTCAGCGCCTGGCCAGGGTCCTATGTACCAGTCATATTCGTAATGCCTGTGCTTATCGTTTGGGATACAGGGGACAGAGAATCTAAAAATTTGGTCTTGAACTTGTTGGCTCACTTAAATACTTCATTAATATGGTTAAGGGAAAATCTAATCAGCATTAGTAACTCTCTTCTTAGGACGCACATGTAATGGAAAAAGCCACGTGTAACAGAAAGTTGATATTTGATTATGTTGTACAAGGAGCACCTTTAGTATGTGAAACAGCTTGTCTATCTGCTGGTGATTTACTGCAAACTGAAGCGATTTTTTCTTGGTCCTCCTCATTTTTCGGATAATGGTTATCCAGAAATTCTCCTCTCAAACCTTGAAATCATAAGAATCAGTGGTTCAGTATCTGTTTGCTATAACATTTTGTTTTCTGATGATATGCCAAAATGTAAAGTGTGATTCTGCTGTTTAAAATTATCAATCCATATAGCATATAGTAACAACTGAGTAGTAATAACATATAGTGAGTCAGATTTCTATCTGCATTTGAAATTTCTAGCTACGTGTGCATTTTGCTGAAGAACTATGTAATAAGACTTCTAGTTTTTCATAGTACTTATATACAGATTTAATGTGAACACAACTCATTGAGATAGATAGGGAGGGTATTGTCTCAGTCCTTCACACAGGGTAACAGTATTAAATAATTAGGTAATTTGCCTAAAGTAGTACAACAATAGGGTGTATAGATGCTTTGTTAGAATCCTTCCCATAAAACTGTTTCCTATTTGACAATATGATGAATTACAGGGTTAGATTATAAAATGGCTAGGTTTTTTTTTTTTTTCTTTTCTTTTAAAGCAAAGGCTTGTTACATGCATATGATTCCTGCCTGCTTCATAGACTGAATTTATTCCAGATTGTGGGGCCATTGATCAGAACATGTTTTTTTTTATTCCTTTGGGAAAAATGCCTTTAGTACATGATTAGAAGCGAT